CTCTCTCTCTTCCTCTGCTACCCCCCCCCCCCCTACGGCACTCGTACTGTACCCGAACAGCTATCAATCCAAATCCCCATCGGAATTTCCACTAGCAAGTTATACAGACGCAAGCACTTCTCAAAATAATAGTAATACCATATCGATACTTGTATCCCACTCGTCCTCCCAAAAACCCAAGAATAAAATCGCAAGTTATCATATCATACAAGTGAAAAACTCCAAATATCCAACTCCTATTATTAGGCACAACCGAACCCATCTCTGCTCAAGTGGCACATGTCACATATGCAACTACACCAGTACCGTACCGTACCCCCCCTTCCCTTTGGCCGTATCCATCCATCCATCCATCCATCCATCCATACCTCAGGGAACCCTCCCAGCACAGCCCATGCGACCCCCGAGGGAGAAAAGAAAAAAAAAACCCCCCCCTTCCCAATCAGATCCGTTTTCATCCATTCGTAGATTAAATCGAACGCCAGAGAGGGTAAAACTCCTGCAAATTAAGCTTTTTTTTTTCCTTTTCCTTTTCTTTTCCCACTTTTCAGGCATGCAAAAGATGTTTTCAAGAGTATCACCACCATACCGTGCCGTACTGTACCGGTATAAAATAAAAAAAGGGCTTAGCACAGAGAAACTGCGCCCCTGGGTAGAGTACAGTATACCGGTATGATGGAAAAAACTTTGTATTATACGGTCATTACTCCTCCGTTTTATTACGGTACCCTTTAAACAAATATTCATCATTGATTAGACTACTTGGTATGAATTATCGCCAGCTGAGGATGAGAAACTTGTTTTTATTTTTTTCGTTTTTTTCGTTTTTTTCCCTTGCGAGTGATGGTAGTACCGGTATATGGTTGCCATAAACTGTTTTGTTAATTCCTGCCGGTTGAGAGGGGGGGGGTGGGGGGTGGGGACGGAACCAGATGGATCGCGTGGATTCAGGAATGGTTGTTGTACGAATAACACTTTTACCGGTACGGTATCTTCTTCACTGCCATTTATATAGGCTGCAGAATTGTATGATAGCCGGTAAGTGGGTGGGGTTGGGTGGGGTGGGTGGATGCACTTTGTGTTCCCCGTGGGGTGGTTCGAAATGTTGTGTACGGTACTCGAGTACTGTACGGTAGTCTACTGTACTTGTGAGCCCAGTCGATGAATCAGGTGCACGGTACAGTAGGTAGGCCTCCGGCCCCGGGCCATAACACCTTACCTTACCGTACTTGTACTGTAGGATAAAGTGTCCTTCATCGCAGTTACTGGTATCCCAAGCTGGATAGCGGGGGAAAAGGTGCGCTTACAATAGAAGAAATGGGCTCCCTCCTTTTTTTTTTCTTCTTCTTCCCTTCCCCTCACCATGCCCCCCCCTTTCCCGAATACCGTACCGTACCGCACTCGAGTACGCCTTGTGTAAGTATGACACCTGTATGAGATGCGATTCCCATCCGTCGAATTTCAACGTTTCGTTACCACCCAATCACCCCATTCTCCGAGCCTCCCGACGCGACGATCGGTCACCACTATGAACACTTTACAACGAATGGCTGAACATAGAATCTTGTTTTTTTTTCCTTTTTCCTATTTTCTTTTCCCCTCCTTTCCGTCACTGGAAATGACTAGCTTAAATGGACCTTTGAGCAGAGCTGTGGTGAGATTATGTGTACGAGTACAGGCAAAATGAACTGCTCGTATGGTATCGCTGCACTACGGTATGGAGAAGGAGAAGGAGCTGTGCAGACAATCAAAAAAGAAAAAAGAAAAGAGGAGAGAGAAGAAAAAAAAGGAAAGGACGAGTAATCAGACCTCTATGCTCCGGGACCAAATGCGTAGGAACGAAAAGTGAAAAGAAGAAAAAAAAAGGTATACAAAGAATTTTCGACCAATCTTTGAAGATCTGGTAAAACTCTTCTCTTTTGTGCCCGGTGAGGCATGCATGTACAGTTCTCCGCCACCTCTGACCTATCCATCCGTCACCTGCTTACTCCGTCATCTAAACTAAGAGTAACAATAATGGAAATGGAAGGGCCGATCAAAATCGGTCGAAAGGGAAGGCGGAGCAAAGTGATAAGAAAGAAAGAAAGAAAGAAAGAAAGAAACCAAAGACACCCAAACGACCCAAAAGCCAAAACGACGTGGTAAATAAATATAAAAAAAAGCAGTATGGTTAATACTTTATACATAAGAAGTGGAATAATTTAAGGGTCGGGGGGGGAAAAAAAAGGGACCCTGGAAGCCATTAAAATATTGTAGTCTCAACCTACTCTGAACGCCCACCACACCCCTTTCGTGGAATCATACGGCAGCCAAAACCGTTACAGCCAGGCCCTCAGCAAGAGACCACCAAACATCACTGCGATCATCGTGGTCTTGTCAAATGGATTCCTTGAGCTGATGGATGAGGATCGTGTTGTGTATACGAGGTTGAAATTAAATGTCGTACTGTTTACGCACATCCCATCCGGCATCTTGTCTTCCTCTCCCGGTTCCACAAATGTGATGTCGGCGCACTATTCATGAAACAGTGAGCATAGGTTCACTAACATTGACAACACCAACAACAATTCTGAAATGCAGTTATGCCGAAGGTGGGAAGGAGGAATGTGTTCAGTTCGCACTTACATTGTAAAGCGAGGCGCCGTGCATTGCTACTTGAATCACTTGAATAGTAGCATTATCACCAGCTTTCACAGAAGCGTTGACGGGTAGCGGAACATCTCGGAGACAGAAAGAGCCCGGGTATGGATCTCTGCTCGGCCCGGTCATTTGAAAAATCGGGTGCATAACGTTCGTCATGTTCGGAGGAGTGGAGCCGAAGCCCATGTTAACGTAGAAGAATGCCGATGGATGGCCGGCATTCCAGCCTGGGACAATTGAGATATCACCTCCGCTGAGTGGGAACTTTGTTCTGTTGGGTGTTACGGAAATTCCACCGCCTATGTGATCGTTTAGCTTCAAGTCCTTCGTTCGAAATAGAAGGGAGTTGGTTGGTGATCATACATGGATACCGCCATTGCATATCATCTTTCAGAGTATTTCCTCGCCATGGAGGATACTGAAGTTCGAAATGTGCTGTTGCAAGGCTGGCGGTTGCGAGAAGAGTTGTGAGGACTAACCTCCAAGAGGGCCTTGATGATTGCGACATATTGTCTGGTTGTGTGAATGTATGCGACTGAGGGTTGTCCAAGTGTATTTGTATTGTATGATCCAACTGTCTCCAACCCAAAGAATCACCTTTTCTTTTCCTCCCTTCTCCAAATCACAAAAATATCGAGGGCAAGGCACTCCCAAAAAAGGCGAATGAATGAGCGTGGTTGATTCCAGAAGGGGGTCCCCGGATTTACAAGTGGACCACGCGCCTAGAGGGTCGTTCGTGGGGGAGGTCGTATCAACGTTTCCTCGGCGGAGTGCAGATGGTTGAAAGTTTTACGGGAAAGAAGCGAGAAAAGAACTGAAAGAGTGGAGGAGGAGGCAGAGTCAATATGTAGCCTGAAAGATGCGTCCGAATGTGGAGCGCTAGACGGGCAAGGCGGGTCCTTTTTGGGTGACTGGGGGGGGGCGGCGACTTGGAGGTGTGATCCCATGTAGACTAGGGGTGGCGGAAGCGAATTGATGCGAGCACAGTAATTATACTCGAGCGCAAGCCGCGATGCTCAGAACAGCTTCCCTGAAACCCACAGTCTTGAATTTGGTATCGGGTTTCTATGCGTGTGGTTCTCGCGGGTGTGCCTTCAAGTTGTGGACAAGTACCGGTATGCAGGTAAGGAGAGTTGTGTCCTGCGGCAACGAACTTGGAGACGTTGGCGAGCCTCTGCACCGTACTCCAGGAAAACATCGCAATACAAGGAGGGTCCGCACTGGAGAACTCTCACTCCTGCACTGTATTTTTTTTTTTTTTCCAACGCCCACCGGGGATAACAGGCATAACTACCCCCATCCTCTCCTCCTTTCCTCCTCCTCCCCCACCAACAGCCAACAACTACACTCACTCCCGACCAACTCTGGCCCATAATTGCCCCGACAGGGGTTAGAACCTTTTGACTGAGTGAGAGGGAGCGGTGAGGATCTACCGGTATTGGTTGGCTGCTGTCTTCCCAATAGCAGCATGCCAAGGATCACACAGGTACGGGGATTATTTAAAAGTAGCGAATCGTTTAGCCATCACCTTCCTCCTACGCGCCCACAACTGAAGCACAGAAGGCTCGCCACGAGATGTGATTCGCCAGTAGAGTGGAAAGTCAAATGCAAGTAAGCAGATGAAATTTGAACCACCCAAAACCCCTGCCCCTGCCAATCTCCATCCGTATTCGGATCATGAGTGTCTTTTATGGTTGGTCTCGCTTGACCTCTTGCATGTCGTGCCACCAACTTTTAGAAAAGGTATGCTAGGGTGCGGTACAGAGCAATCACGAAATAGCGAATACAGTCCGAGTATCACACATCTACCGGTACCGCATCCCACTTATGCTCCCTCTTGTCGTCTCCCCATGGAAATCTGGAGTAACTAGTGATATGCACAGGAAACCGCAATAGGGCATCTCTCCTTACCAGAATCTATTACACACTCAAAATCAAGTGATCGCTAAAATATGCTCAGGGTAGTTCTCGGGTGGCAGCGATGTGCACTCCGGTACTTGTACCGTACTTGGTTAAATGACTGATAACCGATTTACCTTGGTCTCTCATCAGGGAGATCAGCATCCCCCGACCGCCCACCGTAGACGTAAACCTGTGAATGCGAAGCTTTCTGTATCGTTCGTTACACATCCATGCTACAGTACTCGTAGCTTTCAATATCAGAACACCGTCTTCGTCTCCCGAGAACTCGCAAAGATGGCAGTGTTCGTACCACCCTAACTATTTCTATTTCCATTTCCCCTTGTAAATTGTGATCCTACCGTTATTCATCTCCTCTCCTTCGTGCTCGATAACACTCTCGTCAACAAGCCCAACTGAGGAAAAACACTAAAATATATATATATAATAAAGGAGAGTTGTCCCAGCGCCATCACGATGCTATAAAAACCCTCCCAACTAACGCACGCCCGAACGCCATCTCCACCATCTCCACCATCTCCACAATCTCAGGTACCAAAAAAGCCTTCCTTTTCTTTACTTTTCCCACAAGATCTGATCGGATACCTGTAGAGTCTGGGTGCCATGTGCTCCACCTGCCCATCCCGCCAGGAAGCTCGGACCAGCGGTTAGTACCGTGCTGGGAGCCCTCGAAACCAGAATCCAACAAAATCCCCATCTTCTGTTCTTTCCATTTCTATTTTTGGCGCTTCAAGCCGCATACCGTAGTCACCACACCTCCCTGCGAGTACCGGTACTCGTACTCGAGTGCACAAAAAAAGCCACGGTACTTACCGTCCCAACATGGGGAACCCGATTTTTTTTGTATTCCATCCCTGTTCTATTCAGCGATTAATTATCGTTGGCGAACTCACCCTCTTTCAAGGTTGATAAGAACCTTGCTATGATGGATAGCTAATCTTCATATCGTGGACCCTCTCCTGGTTCTCTAAAATACTAATGGCTCGAGTACTGTGCCGTACTATACCCCTCCTACCCCGAGTATCTCTACTCTTCCTCCTGACACGCTCCACGCCTTGCTTCATTTCGCATACAATGTACAAACCCATCCCCACCCCTCTCTCTCACCCTATGCACGTAATTGCGGATTATGCCTTCATGCTTGACCGTTTTTGTGAAAGTCTAAGGTACGAGTACTGGGAGGGGGGCTTTCCACTCAAAAGCTTGTCTGCCTGAATGTCGGTTAGTCCGTCCAAGTTATGGTACGGGTAGGGTATCATACTCCAGGCGCCTACACGAAACCCACCCCACAGGCCCACGTTAAACAATGCCCTTGTAGAAGTTTCGACTGGGCGGGTGGGGGAAAATCGCCCGAAGGTTCCTAGTGCACGTGGAGCTGTAGGGCTGGCAACAGTACAGGTACAAGTACTCGAGCAGTTGGTGCTATGGAGACTTTTAATCGTGACGATTGGTGATGGTGGTGGTCGGGTCGGCATATCTTTACGAGTGTGGCTTTTCTTTTCTTTTCCCCTCTTTACGCTTCCCACACACCTCCTGAGCCGGGAGCGTACGGTACTGTACGGTGATCGAGTGTGTAGCGAGCGCTTGGGATGGCGGCTAGAATGGACAACCATATTGTGGATATTATTAGTCTTGGCAGAAAGGAAGTGGGGTGGGGTATTCTCACCCGGGTGTCTGGTGAGGTAGGATAATAGTGTTTCCTGCTGGCAGCGGGACGGTGTCATTGTGAGTTGTGGGCTCTCTCTCTTGATCGCGTATCGTCGCTGGTGCCTCTGTGTCGTGTATGCACTGGACCACGGTCGAGTGAGTCCTGATGAATCACCTCGTATGGTACTCGAGAACACTTCTCTTAACCGGCTCGTGCAATCTTGCTTAGGCGGCTATAGGGAAAACCAAGCTCTTTTCTCTCTCCCCCCTCCTGGGAAGGGAGCTTGGAAGTTTTCCTTGGGAATCATGTTAGTGATCGCTAGCGAAGCCTCGACGCTGAGCTCCGCCAATCAGTGGTGTGGGAAAGAAAGCCTCCCCCGTAACCGCGTGTTGCCCCCCCCCCCCCTTTGGTCCACGTAAACTACCGGTACTCATATCCAGGTGCACAAGTGCTAATGCAGTACCGGTAAGGCACCCTCCCCATTCCTCAGCTTCATCTGTGTCTCAGGCATCCAACAAACTCTTTGACGGGAGCCCTACAGGAATGGACACCTGCAACCGTGGAAGAAACAACCCCTAACCCCCTTCCCCGCTACCGGCACCCTCCCAACACCCCGCCCAGGGCTCCAACAGCATTTGTTAGATCTCGTGCAGCGAGGGCTGCTCCGGAATAATGGAGGCTTTCCGGGAACTTATTGAAAAGGTGGGGAACGGTTCATTCTGGAAAATGTTATGCCGAGAGGTGGTCTCACTGGCCGTTCGAAATTGGGAAGCAGTTAAATTGTTACATAATAATCCCGTCCGGATTTTCAAAGTTGCGCCCATCTACGTAGTATGATACGGTATGATACTCGGGTAAGTTGAAGTGGTGGTGAGAGGGCATACCTGACTACCGAAGGGCCGAGTTTCCGGACTCTATCTGCTTAGGATATATGCCTTATTTCGCTAGCTCCCTTCCCCGCTTGGGTTTCGTGTAAGTGTTGACCCGGGGAGATTCTATGTTGTGTATAATTGTCATTTTTAGTTTGGCACAAATATCTCTGGCTTGGTGGCGGGGTGGAGGTTCTCCTAGGCTCGAATGAGCAGAACAGTGAGAATCGACAATTACGTTTCCTTTTAGGTGGCGGCCGGTGAATTGATGGGCACCCAACTCGTCGTTGAGATTCAGATATTCCTCAAGATCCACACTATGTGTGGCAGGAAGAGAGAAGGAGTCATATAGCGGTAACCGCGATACCTTGCTCAATTGTAAGGGGCCCAAGTCTCCTGCCCTGGTCATAACCTCTTTAGTTTAAATTTGGGCATAACTATAAGTCTTGAAGCGTAATTAGGAGAGAGAGAAGAGGAAGAAGGCGATATAGGGAATAGACAAAACGATAAGGAGGGAGAATGCAAAAACAAACTAATGTGGCCTGTTCCCCAACACAAGCTAAAGCGACTAAAAGAACGAAAGCAGTTACACGTGCCAAACGAAGAGGAAAACATGACTCGTAGCAAACATCCCAGTATCGCTGTTAGACATTCTCATCAGCTAGCTTGGATGCTGTCCCACTCGGGCCAGATATCACCTGACCTTCTTGAGCTCCCCTGAACTTCCCTTTGGGACCATACTCACAACGGACAATAGGGAGGCCGTCGCTGTCTTGGCCTGGGTTGAGTGTCTTGTAATCGACCAAGAGCAGGATTTTGTAAACTGCTGCCCCAAGGGCTGCTCCAAGGGCAGGTCCGACCCCTATGCGGAATTGCGTTAGGGATCTGGCTATAGTCTTGTGGGGAAAGTGAGGGTCTTACAGTAGATCCAATGGTGGCCAGGGAAATCGCCTGTAATAACCGCTGGCCCAAGGGACCTGGCGGGATTGAGTGAACCGCCGGTGAAATAAACCCCAAAAAGTTGTGTGATGAAGAAGGAAAGCCCGATTCCGAGCGGCGCAATAAAGGTCGCACGATGCTACCAGCCAGTCAGATTTCATCGTGCAAAAAACCTGGGCAAGCGTTCCGAGATCATACCTTTTCCACAGCAAGCTGGCAACCGGAAACAGACAATGTAAGCTTTTACCCTAGATGGAGAGACTTGGACAAGAACACCGCATATCCTACCAGAAAGATTGTGAGCATCAATTGCGCTGTCAAAAAAAGCTCAATAAAGAGCCCTTGAACGACAGAGACACCCGCTGTAGCCCCCGGCGTTAGCATGAATCCTGGAGCTACGTTTTAGCACGCAAAAACGCCTACTCACGTGCTAGAGTCGTCCCAACTGCTAGTTCTCCGGGTGTGAGTCCTTCAACGAGGCCAGACGCTGCAATCCCTCCGACAATTTGCGCAATTCCCACCAGGACACCTTTGAGGGGCGGAACCCCCCCAGTAAGGACACATCCTAAGGTGATCGCTGGGTTGAATAATGCACCAGTGACGCGGTAGAAGACCCAAACGTTGACGGTAAGGGAAAACCCGAAGCACATGGCTACATAAAGCAAAAGATCCGGTGTGACAACAGCACCGGTAGGATCTTTAGGGGGGGAGCCCCCCCCGCCGACATGATTGATCTTGACTGCCTGCGTGCCGCCAAATGCGAAGAATAGGAATAGGAAGGTTCCTGTAAACATGAAGTTAGTTGGCCGTTTTTTTTAAAAAAAAAAAAGTAGGTGCGAAATAGAGTGCAGAACCGAATACCTAGAAATTCGCCAAACTTTACGGGTCACGGCAATATCAGTACATAAATTCTTCAGCCCATTCATCTTGCAGATGCAACACATACTACCAGGAGACCATCTAAAACAGGCAAGTGTCAATATCCTGGCTGCTAAACCACCTAGAATTGAGAGAGGGCCGAGCTTACAGTCTTTGAGGGTACTTTGCATTGAAGGAGCGGGTGATCCCGCATTGAGGCTGACATCCTCAGAATCAACCCCTTCGATTGGTGCAGTGCTAGCAGTTGTGCTGATTTTGGCACCAGCCATTTTGCGAGTACAGTCGGTCAAAGTAATGAAACAGAGATTAAAGAATGTCCGAGGAAAGATATTCTTATTATTGGAAGTCCGAGAGAGTGGGAGGAGGAAGTATAATGGTAGCGGTGGTAGTGAGATTGTGTAGGGGTGGTGATGGTAGTAGGGGCTGCCGTACAGACAAAGGTACTGTACTGTACTGTACTGGACGGCGATGTCTAAAGCGCAATGGGACGGTGCGGTAAGAAAGGTTGCGAGTCCCATGGATTATATATACAAGTACAGTAGACCCCCAGACACACCGTCTCCCAGAAAACAACACTTTACATTGCGTTAAGCTGTATAGCCTCGATAGCTATTCTGTGCTTACCATCACGAACCCGATGGTCCCGACTGCAGTATCCCGATGCGCCCACTATTAGAACATCATGCAAAAAGGAAAAAAGAACCCGGCTCGAAACCTCAATCTGCCTCCCTCTCGGGTCATATTTCGATAGCCAATCGTAGGGCACACGGTAGATCGGAGTTGAAAGAATTATGACAGCCTTCCATCATTCATCCTGTGAATTGGTGAGAACTCCGCTCAGGCAGCTCCTGTAACAAAGAGGTGTGATGGTACAAGTGCCGCCGACTGACATATCCGTCACGTGAAATCTGATGAACAAAAGCGGCGTGTTGCAACCAAGGGCACATATAGCTTATGCCAGCACAATATAGTGATATATAATACTCATTTCTTTAGTCCTATTATACCAATACAAGATAAATTAAGACACCTCCCTAGGATAGAGTAGAAGCGAGGGGGAAAAAACACCTTAAACCATCTACAAAGGTTGTTATCACCTTTTTTTTTAATGGCAAATTCCTGATTGTTTTTAGAGTAAAAACAATAATAATTAATCAAATCAGTTAACTGACTACTCTAAGCAAATTTTACTCCTTTGTATAATGTCTAGTTTTCCTATTATTAAAGAGGTATAATAGAAACAGTATTATCAACTACTAATATTTTAAACCTAGTCTCTTGCTTACTAGTACTTCTTTCAAGTATTTGATTAATCTTTTTCAGGTATGTTCTATCTTCTACTTTTACTATTTTACTTCTTAAATTCCTACTTAGTAGATAGTTTTTATTATAGGTAATAAAATAGTAGACCGATCCAAACAAGTACCATATACTAGTATCAATTTTTATAAAAATTTAAACATCTTTGTCCTATAAATTTGTATCTAGTAATATCTAAAAAGTATCAGTTATTTATTATTCTTATAATATATACTTAGAGCTAACTTGAGCTAACTATATAAAAAGTGATATATATTTTAATAGTTATGGGCTATGTATTTAATAGTTGAAAATGTAACTGCTTAGTCTATAATTAATTATTATAATTTGTTTAGATGGAATATTAATCAGGTAAGCATTACTCAGAATAAGGCTCTCAGGTATGACTCACTGGCATACTTGTAAGCCACAACTATTATTGACTTAGTTATTTGATTGCTGCACACATACCTTAATTAAGACATAATTATTATAATAATATAAGTTTTATATTATAATTTATCTACATTTCATAATATTTTACCTAACTCATAGTAGTTGTGAGTTATATCTACTATATTTAAATTTTATTTGTTTTGATAGGAGAGTAATATGTATAACTTAGAGGAATAAGTTATGAGGATTTCATACTATAGTATAATGACAGTTATAAGTCATAATAGTTTTAATATTAGTTATAGTTGTAAATTATAGTTGTCCTAATCATACAAGTAGTTGCAATAAGAAATTTATATAAGGATTTGGGAATTTGCAGGTATTATTGTTAGATCTTCAAGTACTTATCACTTATTATTTTCTACTTATACTTTATATGAATAAAATCTTTTACATGCTACTTTACAAACATCTTGGAGTATAATACTCATACAATAAGATCTTAAAAAGAAGAATTAAGTAGATAGACTAGCAGGCATTTAGAAATATTAATCAACTACTTTTTGGTAAAGGTGTCAAGTGTTAGAGTTATATATTAGCATTCTGAAAGTATCTTGCTATGTTTCCTCATTTGGTTTATACTAATAAACTCAAAGGTATCATACTTAGAAGAAGAAAGATAGATAGAGTTTGGAGGTAAATTTGAAAAATGCAGTATAGAGAATAGGGTTGTTTACTTATCTCCCAGCTTTCACATAAATCAAGATGGTTGCAACATGCTGCTATTGCCCAACAGACTTCCTTGCCTTACAGATAAATCTATTGGCTGCACTTGTAGAAAACCGAGCGGTTGAGAAATAAAAGTGCCCCAACCAATAAACGCTGATGACGCACAACCGTATAATCCTAACATCATTCCCGAGTGATACAGTCAGATATATGCTACGGTTGCAGTTCAAACAAAGGGCCACCGTTCGCAGTGCTTTTATTTATTTTTCTTTCCCTCGAGTTGGGCTGAGAATCGAGTAATCTCTCCCGCACAACATCTCGACACGAGGGGAGGAAGCGTGTGCCGCTTTCAGCCCTCCTTTGATGTATCGTATCGTACCACCAAAACATCAATGATAGAGTTGGCCGTCATTTCGAGGGTGTTCATGTCGCGCGACGCAACCGCTTATTTTGCAACACCCTTGTTGCCGATCCTGCATGCAGCTCGAAACTATTTACCCGATGGAAGGTTACTACTATCTTCTGGTGGAGAACACAGCGGAAATATGAAGAATGCGGGGAAGATCACCGGGTACGCCCGCAGAGCGTTCTACCCCTGATACAGCAGGAAAAAGACCTTCCTGAGTCAGAATGCACTCTCCACCGCAGCGGGGAGGGGGAGGGGGAGGCGTGGGGAACAACCCTCTGTCCAATGGACTCCCTAAAATAAGGCGGCTGGCCCACAATGGAGCCTTGTTATCTTACTACCTGTTCGGGCTCGGTGGTCGGTGGCTTCGCGCGCCAAAAGTGTTGCTTAGCTTACGGAGTTCAACGTGGCTTCCAAAGTGCAGAGAAGGGAAGGAATGGGGTGGAAAACTCCGCCGGGGGCGTCTCACGGCCTACAATAATTTACGGCATTGTAGCCAGAGAAGTTCTCTTCCCGGAGCTATACTGGCACCGTAATTCGGCATAGCCTAATCTTTCTATCCAGTTGGTAATAAGTACTACCCATAGCGATGCCAAGCACGAATGATGAATTGCTTCTGTCGCTAGGTGGGGGTGCCCTGCTGAGAAGAGATCTGACGACAGGGACCAGAATGTGGTGGGAGAGAACCCCAGGGTCATTAGGTGTCTGAAACTGGGGGGATGTATGTACGTATCCACAAGGCAAGCGACTAATCTTTCATAACTTCAAGTTAACTCGGACCATCATATCATATCATATCATATCATATCATATCATATCAAGCTTCCGACTGCAAGAAAGCCGGCCACTTCGCAGACTCCAGCGGGGTGAGGGGTCAGCGAGGCGGCACGTTCAGCGAAGCGAAACAGGTCCTAGCAACAACGGCACCATAAGGGTCCTTTTTCCTTCCTTCCTTCCTTCCTTCCTTCCTTCTTTCATTTTATTTTAATATTTTTACCCCGTCTTCTCCCTCAATAGAGCTTCTCTAGAGCCTTCTTTGGGTTGTGAACAGAAACCTTTTAAGCTCAGCACGGTCCAGGATCTACTCCATTTAGTGAATATCTACTCAAAAATTGATGCGTTCTCAGGAATCTCAGAAACTTTTCCCCTCAAGGGAGAAGAGTGGAAATCCAAACATCCCAGCCCTCTACCGGCTATATCCTAAGGTGAATAGTACAGCTGTCTCGGCTAACTTAAAAAATCTCCTGTCCACATCCAAAACGGGGCTCCGGGAAAGCTCTAATACCGTACAGACTGCACGCAACATGTCCATCCTTGCTGGTTTGATCTACCTCAAATGCACACTCCCCCGGCAAATGTGTTTGTGATTCAGGACATGCTTAATTAATTACCTTGATAGTGCCATCGGTATCTGTGCGGAGGGGTAGTACTGTAGTAAGGTTGTCGCTTTCGTTTCAAGATCGCTCTGATTATTACCCCTCTCGATCATCTCCACAATCACCTGTGCGAGCATGCAATGCAACAATGACCAACAGTTCATAGGCAATGAGTCTAGAGAAATTAAATTAAATTAAAAATATAAGAGACCATTTATTACAATAATTGATACCCTGAATATCCCCCTTTTGCTTCTGGAACAGATGCCTGCTCCTAGGTTTCTCTTTTCAAGGTCCACCCGCTTTCGTCCAGGTGAGAAGCAGGGCACTGATATCTATCTAGCCCCGAAAACTCAGATCATGCAAAGTATCAGAGATGTCCTCCCGGCCAATCGTTTCTGCAGTACTCGAATATCTGCCAGCCAATCCAACGGGATATCTCAGGCCACCAGGGCAATGGAAGGCCAAATTCCGCAATCAAACCAGGGAGGATCAATTCCTTCCAATAGCAACATTTAGACCCTACTTACGAGCCACCCTGCATGCAGGCATTTAGCAGCTATTTTCAAGCGGCGCTCCATGCTACATTATAAAGAAGTTGACCGAATTCCCAAAGATAAATAGCGCCAATACTAAATCAAGTGTGCCCTCAGCACAAAGCACGTGAAGGAGGGATCCCTTAATCCGTTCCCAGGCACTAGGATCTTTCGACCTCATAACCTCAAGAGGTAGGAAATGTGGTTTATCTTCAACTTGTCGTAGTTCAAATTCTTTGATTGGCTATGTCAACCCCCTGCGAGGGAGTCCATTCCTTTAATAGGCGATATTAGGACAAATCAGGAGGATAGTGTTTCCTAACACCGCGCTAAAAGTGAGTGAAATTGGGAAACGAACGAAGGGATGGCAGAACTGCCAAGCTTTGAGCTTGGATGTCCTCCAATTGTGAACATGTAATGCATTGGTGAAATGTTTCTGGTGATTAGTGCGAGCAAACATACCCGAAAAGCAATTCGTGAGACGGAGAAGCTTCCCCTCCGACAGACACGGCAACTATAGTCCGGGAGATAGCCTCCATAGATGTTGGTCGAGGGGGTCACCTAGAAGAGCCACCGACGTGGTGTTCAGGATGATCATAAATTTCATTGGGACACTTGCACAGGAGTGGTTGGGGGCAAAAACTACTGATGGCCGGTGGCAAATGCGAATAAAACGGTGTGTGAAAACTTAATCAGTGATAAGAGGGGTCGGGTCATGCGATACACCACCACAGTGCCAGTATCAAGAGATTTCTCATAGTCTCCGGGATGGAACAAAACGAGCGATTCGATTCTGGCCTACCGGTATATAGTGAGCGCCTGTTGAGGTACAGTACGGTGACAGATTTTGCCGTACGGTAAGCCAATCAACCCACGTTCTTTAAACCCGGAGAAAAACAGCCGTGGGCAGGGCGAGACAGACAGCGAGAACAACGAACGGCACGCAAACAGGGTTTAAACGCTTCCGTAACTTAGCTCCCGCAATGTGGCTTCCTCTGGCATTACGGTAGATTCTGCTAGTTAGACTATTAGGACCGTGCACGAGGGAATTAGCCTGAGGTTAGCAGGGTCCAATGAAAGCATCTGCTCTCGAGTGATCCCGGACCGAACGGTGAGAGAGGAGGTACCGGTAGCCGAGCAGTGTGTGTACGAGTATGTTTATGCCCCCCGTTCCTCGATTGAAAGGTAAATTTAAGAACAAATAGACTAGCACAATATTAGTTGGAGGAAGGTGGAAAAACCAATATGGTAGCTAACCTAAACCGATGGATCTGACTGTACGGGTACGCCTTCAAAATGGAATAAAGCCATATCTCGTAGTCAGTTTCCGAGGGCGTGAAGAAGAGCGCATGTCTAACTACCGTAGACTCTTGAGTTTGTCCTTACCGGTAATATCATAGTTGAGAAACTTTTCACCAGACAATCGGCACTCCATCGTAGCGTACCGGGTGCCCACCGAGGAGGTTGACCGGCGGCCACAGCCGGCAGATACTAATATGCAAAATTAAATGGCTGTCTCGAGATTAATACAAGAGGCGCGGCATAATAGTGCTGCTCAATCGCCAACGGTGCTGGCCCCCGGTATGATATTTTCCAGGAGACAAATGCGAGGAGTAGATGCGATGCTTTTCGTGATTCTGTTGTTGTTGCTATTATACAGGCAGTGGTAACGACCAACTATGATACTCGGGTATTGATTGGTAGGAAGAGTATAATACCGGTACAGTACAGTACCCGCTCACCTTCCAGCAAGCTACCCGCAAACGAGGTTTTCTGGTTGGAAACATCGCATAGCAGAGACACAAGTACCGTGCTCGAACACAACCTTGTTTTGAATCGCATCACTGACTAAACTTGGATGCCGCTACACGCTGGAGCGGTTTGTACGGTATGATACTTGCAACACTCATACTGATACCGTACTGTGGCAAATACCCCTCCGGCCTCCGCATGCCACTTGTACAGTCGGATGTTGTGCAACCCGGATAAACCCCCGGGCCGCAGTTCCGGCTTTCCCTCTGACAGAACACGGGGTCACCGTAATTTACCTTCACGCACACCGTGTCCGGCTTCTAATAAAGAAAGCCATCATTAGCTCCTCTCAACAGCTAAATATGTAGCTCATAATCCATGCCTCCACTATGATGATAAGTGAAATACTAGCCATCAGTAAAGGGGGGGGGGGGGGGTAAGGGGAGACCCCATCACCCAATCCTTAATCAACATGGTTTGGTCAGAAGTCCGTGTACTCGGATATGGGATTATCATAAAAATCGAGAATGGCAGGGATAAAATCAGGAACCTCGGGAATCGCATACCGGTAGATGAGGAATCGAGGGGAAAAAGGGGAAGTGGGAAGTTAACCCCTGAAACAGTTGCATCTAGGCGATCTCTTACCCCTAACGCAACCGGATAGATATCGAGGAGGTTACTTGTAGCTATAGTATTACCGTACTATTCTCTCTGGACATATAAATGAATAAAATTGATAACCACCCAGGTATTTATTAAGCATGCAAGAGGCAGTACTCACCCGTCTCAGACAAGATTTGGCACCCCTTAGGGAGATTCAATGCTCTCAGCACAGGTGTTTCGGTAGAGGTGTATTTTCTAGAATTTACAGTACTGTACACCGCAAACCTCCTCGGGAAGAGGGATGCAGCATACCGGTACAGAGGTACAGTCATTTGATTCATCATCCCTACCTAAATTAATCAGCAGTTTACTCAGTTTGTCACTAGCGACACTTACCAGGCAAGAACAAGCAAGCTGATATACTAGCCCCGATGGCAGTTTATCGTTGATGTTCGGAGCGGTACACCTCTATTTTCAGGGTATATCGCGCACCGGTTCACAGCGTGCTGAGAGATTGAACCCCCTATTTGTCCCAGCTGAAAGGGCATAGTCTACTATAATACTGTACTCGTACGAGTACTGTATCATACTCGTAGTACTCGAGTAGGTTGGAGCGAATACCCTATGGGGGTCTAACTCTTCGAAGGAAAGCAGCATATGCGGCAATCCGGATACCTATAATAGAAGCTCCAGTAAACTTGTGGAAACTTCATTCACCAACTATTCCCCCAATAGTTAGGCCTCTACACCCATTCCCCACCGCCAATGCTCTTAAACAGAATCCCTTCGGCAGAAAAGAACGGGTGCCACGAGCCAGGACAAATGGGGTGCCAAATCTTAGCTGAGAAACACGAGTACGAGTACTGAGCCAATAGTTACTACTAGTACCACTTGCGTTTACATCATCATCATGTCACACTTGTCAAGTTTTGGTCCGGGTTCTTCAACACCTAAACTTGCCGGGCACTTCCGCCCGCCCCGGCCAGCTCGGTACGGTACTTGTACCTCCTCAAGATACCGGTAACAGGGTTCTTTGTGTGCCCGATTTCCGCTTTCACACCCGAGTACTCCTAGGTGTTCTTGCAATTATTCCGATTCAGCGAGCAGCAGCCCTTCCGAAAGGCTGCAGCGCGCCGAACAGAGTGTTAGTCCTGTATCGAGCTTCCCTAAAGGACCATTCTTCGAGACTACTATTATTAAGGAAAACATGATTGGTATAACGGCATTAGGATGTTATCAAGTGTGATATTACTATTAGGACGCGCCCCTTCCTAGTCTTGAGAGTATGATTTCTTTGAATATTCACAGCCCCAACTCTTCCCATAAGTGAGGTCTCTTTTATCCCCTCCCCTCCCTTCCCTTCCCTTCCCCATCTTCTTTAAACCCGAGATCACTCTATATATCCCTCTCCCGCCATACCTTTTTTTCCCAAATTTTCCAAATTGTTCAGGTTAGCTTTGGCCCGCCCAAGGCTATTAGATTATACTAAAAAGTGATATCAGCCTTAAGTATCTTCTCCGAAGATATGAAAATCTCAACCTTTCTTACCTTGTTTATTATCCCGGGGATAGCCGGGGCCCCGGCGACTTCTAACCGGGTGACAGAATATGACTATATTGTTATTGGAGGTATACAGGCTATACACATAAACTTTTGAGAAAAAATTCTTACTAACCTGGAGGAAAAATAGCGGGAACCGCAGGTGGCTATCTAGCCCACCGCCTCTCTACAGCTGATAGCGGGAAATCTGTCCTTCTTCTTGAAACCGGCCCGAACACATTATCCTCACGGGGCTCAAAGGAAATCGAAAATCCCAATCTTTTTTCCCTCTTGCCCGGAAACTTTGCCGAGAATGTAGCCCAGTCACGCACAAACTACCTTTACAAAATTGCCCCACAGGCCGCACTTGAAAATCGAGTTCTCACATATCATCGCGGAAAGGGCTTGGGTGGTACCAGTGCTATAAACTACATGGCCTGGGTCAAAGGTTACAAGGGTGATTATGACGAATGGGCTGGGGTTGCGAATGATTCAGCATTTGGTGGGGAGGAAGGGTGGGAGAGGATAAAACGTGTAAGCGCCAACCAGTTAATATATGCGTTCATAAAAAAAAACCCCCATTAATCTCAGGAAATATATAGCTCGAAAATTTTGATGCCACCGGTTTGCCAGTAAGCTATTCCCGTTACGCTGCCCCGGATCTCTCCAATCACGGAAACTCGGGACCAATCCACAACGGCCTTCCCAAAAATCCCATCCCTGGCCTTGCCTCATTTATAGATGGCTGTGTTGAGGCGGGGGTTCCAAAGTCTCTTGATACAAATTCTGGAAAAATTGTCAGTCCATCTCCTAGTTTTGAAATTATAGGCCGCAAACACGATACAAATACTTCGTGTTGGGTGCTTATGCACCATAAACTAACCCGGAAGATAGATTGGAGCAGGTATTGCGCAAATGTCGATTTACAAGGGTGCTAGGGCCTCATCGGCAACTCAATGTCTGAATAGTAGAGGAGATCTCGGAGCTGGGCTTCGCAAACAACCCAATTTAGAGATAAAGGTGGATACGAGAGTTGAAAAGGTTATATTTGACGGCCTCAAAGCTGTTGGTGTACAAATTGTTGGCGGGCTCATATGTATTCATAGCTCCCTCCACAACACACTCCTCAAACCGCATACTAACACCCACAGATCGTGCAAGGGGAGAAGTTATTATTTCTGCCGGCTTCATCGACTCACCGAAGCTGTTGCTGCTCAGTGGGGTCGGCCCCAAGAGGGACTTGGAAATGTTGAATATTACAGTTATATCTAATTCACCCAACGTTGGCAAGAACATGCTTGTAAGTGACTTTCTCCAGCTCCCCATAACCCTCAAATGCTAACCGAAATCGCCCAGGATCACTCTACAATTTTGCTAGACCCCATATTCAAGCAAGACCTCCGTGTGCCAACCTCCAATTCATTCTGGAAAAACCCTGACCATGTCCTTTGGGAGACAAAGAAGTGGCTCCACACCTATAATTCCAGTGCTGGTGAAGGCGAGGGGGAAATGACCCGTTTTGGAGGATCCGCTGCTATTGCCTTTATCAAGTTTACCCCGGAAGAGCGCGAGAAATGGCCGGAATGGAAAGCTTTGACGGCAGAGGAACGAGTCCGGTTTTTGGATCCCGATAGACCGGATACTGAAATATTCTACTTTGTAAGTTTGTTAGCGCCAATTCCCCTCCCAATACAATACAGCGCATACTAATATTCAACCCTTCCTTCAGCTTGGATACCTCCCCGCCGGAAAAGCCATACCAGCCGGATCAGAACCAAATTCATATGCCCGCCTATTCCTCCTTCAGCAAAACAATCTCTCTCGTGGCTCAATTAGCCTCAAAACCTCCGATCCGGCAGAAGAACCTGTGATCAACCCCCAATATTTCTCACACCCCTACGATGTTCGCATTGCCGTGGAGACAGTTAAAGCTGCTGTAAAAATCTTCAAGACCAAGTCACTCTCGGCTCATTTTGTTGGGATGGAGTTTGTTGGGGCTACTGAGGACCCCCCTTTCATCCGTGATAGCCCCGAGCAGGAAGAGAAGAACCACGAGAAGGGGAAGCTTAGTGGTGGGTTCTATGTCAATGGTATTGAACTCACTGATGCCGGGATTGAGAAATGGTTGAGGAAGAAAGGCATGGGTCAAGGGTATCACGGAATGGGTACTTGCAGAATGGGAGCCGCCGGCGACCCCTTGAGAGTTGTAGATTCTGGCGGGAGAGTTGTCGGCGTGAAGGGGTTGAGAGTAGCTGATGCAAGCGTTATTCCTATTGTCATGAAGTAAGTTCCTTGCCCCCCACCCACTAGGTCCCTTTCCAGAGAAGTAAAGCTAATATATTGAACTACTAAATCAATAGCAACCATCCGCAGGTTCCTGCATATTTAGTTGCTGACGTTGTCGCTGACTCCATCATAGAAGATAGTAAATATCGAGGCAATACTAGCCCGTAACAAGTATTCAGATTTTAGGAATCCTATCAAACAAATTTGCTTTTAGCATACCAAAAAATAACTCTCTTGGTCTAATTTTCTATAAACCCTGCCCGATTCCCCCCCAAAGCCTGTCAGGATCCCTTTATCGTGATAACTCATTGGCACAAGACATAAAGGCCCACTAAGCCGATATACCAGGAGTGTGAAGTATAGGGGGTGTTGTAAAACAAACCCAGAATAAACGCCCTTTGTGCCGGACCTTTTTCCAGGATACCTTGTGAAGCTATCCATTTCGCAAAGCAAGCCTGGCTACAGAACAGAATAATTGAGGCCTTTGCTCACCATACAGCCAAAAAGGTTGGTAAAAATGACAAATATGGAGCTGCTTAAATTTTCCCCGCATGGGAAAAGAGCGACCATATGTGAACGTGGAACAGCTAACACCTCAGGCCAGAAGTCCATAAATTTCTACACACACACCCAACCCCTTAACCAGAAGCATTTAACGAATGATAATAAACCCCTGGAGAGCCAAAAAGAAATCCCTGATGATATTTCCATCCATACGCTACAGAGTAACTACCATAAGGACTGGGCCGATCCCGACTGTCGTACATCAGTCGTGTAGAGATTTCGTTGGACACCACCGTGGGGAATCAGAAGTAACTTATTATTAACAGCGTATCCAAAAAGTTTTCACTAAGAATCATTGCGTATTCCCAGAACCGCGGTCAGAAAGAGCACCTTGTGGGCTCCTCAGGTACAAATTTTCCTGGATGCGCATTCGGGTTCAAGGTCTACCCTCAAACAGCGGGGTTCCCCCCCCCCTCCCTCTCTTCCTCTTTTCTCCCCCTTTTAACGGGTAATCGACACCGCCTCCCCGGTCTATCCGGCCACCATAGCATGAAATTATATACTTCTCCGGACATTGAGCGGCCAAGAACTAAAGGCGAGAGTTATATGAGCAAAAGTCTCCCGGGGCCCTCCCATATCGCTCAGAGCACCAAAAACTAATGCAAGAGCAGCTCGGGCTAACTCGCCAATCATAAGCCCCCAGGGTAATCGCCCACAGTTTGATGGAAGGATCGAGGCCCTCCACGGCATCAGCCATCCCCCCATGTGAATCATGCCAGATCACTCAGCCTTCAGGTTATTGTTGTGAAGGAAAAAAAAAGCAATCTCAGATCCAAGATTCGACTACCATGATAAGCTTTTGTATCGGGTTACTAGTCTAGTACCCGGATTACCGTACATTGTGATCTGCATTGCGATATATCCAGGAAAGGAACTACTTCTTTTTGACAAAAGATCCCTATATCACATAGAGCCAGCAATAATGGAACCTTCAGACCTCATTCCCCCATTGGAAAGCAACTAGATCGAAGCCCGTGAGCCCCCCCCGGGGGTCCCGGAAGTCTCTAGTACAGGTGTTGGCCCACACCGTGGTAGGCAAGTCTAGGTTACCGGTACGGGCAGCCCCGTAATAAATAAAAAAACTACGATACAAGTCCCACATCACACTACCGGTAGCAGGGTATCATACCCAGACAGCTTTACCGCTCGAGTGAAATGGGTACCCTCCTGGGCTGATGCAGATATGATACGGCAACCCTGCGATTTATCTAAAATTTGATAATAACATTATGATAGCTAATCATACCGTTCCCACCGAGAGCGGGGTGGAGGAGGAGGAGGAGGGGTAAACGAATGGTGGAGAACACTTGGACATGCGGAGGAGGTTCCCCCAAGGTACAGTACAGTACAGTACTTCGCATCGGACAATAATAATGGCACGGAAACCCTCTTTCGTCGAATCCACAATATCCCGAAGCTTCAATTAAGTCTCCCCCTTTTCCCATCCTCTGGTTCTCTTCTCTACCGGTAAAGCTACCCACAGCTTGAATCCGGAACTCCTTCGTTCTATCATACGTTACCTAATCCTTTATCGCCTAGAGACCGCCCTCGATAAGAGTTTGCTCGATGGGGCTCAACACCAGAAGCCCTCAAATCCAAAACTTGTTAGTGTTGGCAAGGGAAGGAAAGAATAGACAGGAGACCACCACCGGCAATATCTTTTTCCTTTTTTCTATGATAACGGAAAAAAGATGAGAAGAGTGCCGGTACGGTACCGGTATCAGAGGTGTTATGGACCTCCGGGGCTAATCACTCCTGATTACATCAGAACAACATCACCATGGCCAAAGGTGCAGGAAACAGTTGCTAGAAAACCCTTCCTCCCCTCCCTTCTATAGTAGCGGTATCAGTGCTAGCATAGAGGTCATCGCTCTCTCCCTGGAATCACAGCGGGTACCAACACATTGGAAAATCTCGGCAAGCACCGACAAACAGTCTCAAATGGAAAAGGATTTCCGACAGCAGTCCCGTATGATCACGAGAACATTAACCCCCAGAATCGAATGTTTGTTTTGGTTGAGCACTAGGAAGGAGGTTATTCAAGGAGCGGCCATGATGCGAGGGAGTTTTCCACTGCTTGTATCAATGCACGATCATTACTACGTACTATCAACATTATTATTATTATTATTATTATAGCACTAATCGTACCGCTAGGAAAGGTCGAACCCTGGAAACCAAACCCACACTACACCTTCGACACCAGTATTCTACCATCATGTTACTTCCCCGGTATAGCCTGGACGAGTGCTTAAACACGAATGCCGTACCTTATCCTCGGCCCCTCTGTCCCAGCCGCAGCCCGCGCACCCGCTCGATACTTTTAGCAAACATTGCAATAGTGCCGGCTTCTGGATCGCCTTTGGCACAAGCAACAAAGAGGCTGGGAGATTGCCGGGCAGGCGCATGAATAGCCCTATGTGGGCACCCGGTGTGGCAGTTTCCCGAGTGAGATGGCGTGATCAGCAGAGACCAAACCACAGAGAGCGCCACGCACACCAGTTGTGCCACCATTCTACCCCGCAGAAGCTGTGTTGTGAGGCAGGAGGTTTTTTTCCCTTTTTTTATTGTGGACTACAGTACTCGTACCCACTATTACGATAGGTACTCAGCTCAGTCAGCTGAGGGGTGTTCATGCAGCCAGGCGAGGTTGGCTGGGTGTGAAGGATGGTAGCTGGCTCGCTAGCTTCTGAGCAATACAGTACGATATCATGAGAAAAAAACATTTTCAAGGACCGAGATTTATGATCGAGAAAATCACAATTGGACTGCTTTAATTTCGCGTTATTCAGAACAAGCTTACTCAGGAACTACTCGTGAATTTCTTTCGTTTATTCGATTGTTCAGAAACGGGTATATTGACTAGATGTTGCGCGTCGTACCCAATATCGGCACGAGAGGGTAGCAAGCGGAAACATTGCGGTCGAGTGGGGAAACGAATGGACAAAATGCTCCCAGTGCCTTCGAGAGATATCCGAAGTGAGCCCTATTTTGAAATATCGAAACTGGCACTCCATACCCCCCCTTGTATTGGCAAAATACACAACCAACTCAATGCGAGGAGCACCCGGAATAGTAACTATTTCTCCCTCCACCGGGTTCAACCAGTTTGGCGGCTTTTTGTTCTTCCACAACCCCGAAGCTTCCAGCTGACAATCGCCCTCCTGAGTCCTGAGGGAGTGCGCGGCATTTGCTTCCGAAATCTCGAGATAGCACAACACACAAGATCCCTGTACGCGTCGTGTTCCGCGCGCGAAAATCCGGCTATCCTTCTTCACAACAAAGGAACCCTCCTTAGGACCTCTCGGGAACCAGAAGTTGGAAAAAAAAAAAAAAAACAAAAAAAAAGCTCGAAGGGGAGATATTGATAATGTGAAGGAAAAA